TGGATTTTGATCGATTAAATTATAAAATAAATAGATTTTAATGGATTCTTATTATGAAATGGATTTTGATCGATTAAATTATAAAATAAATAGATTTCAATAGATTTTTATTATGAAATCGATTTTGATCGATTAAATTATAAAATAAATCTTTTTCAATGGATTTTTATTATGAAATGGATTGTGATCGATTAAATTATAAAATAAATCTTTTTCAATGGATTTTTATCATGAAATGGATTTTGATCGATTAATTTTGAAATAAGTAGATTTTTTGTCCTAATTAGTTGACCCTTGATTAGGTAACCGTTAATTAGTTTTATCTTAGTTAGTGTTTTCTTAATTAGTGATTACTTAATTAGTGAACCCTTAGTTAGGTAACCGTTAATTAGTTCTTTCTTAATTAGTTAACTCTAGATTCGTGGACCCTTAATTAGTTGACCCTTAATTAGTTTTGTTTTAATTTGTTATTTCTTAATTAGTTTTGTTTTAATTTGTTGAGTATTAGACTGAGGATTGTTGAATAATTGGTTCTGTGCGATTTATGAGTCATATAATGATGTAATGTCGTTAACCGTCCGATTTGACTATTGACATCCGCGGACGTCTGCTTTTGGATAGTCCGTCTGATATGACCCTATATATACCCATGTTTTTTTTCATTTCGTTTCATTTTACAGGTTTTGATCACTTCGTCGTATGTGGCTGTTTGGATTCAGAAATGTCTGAATTTGAATAATCCGGCAGGTATGAACTTATATGTACCCATCTTTCTCTCATTTTATTTCATTATACAAGTTTCCAAGGGCGTATCGCGTAGGTCCATAGATATTGAAGTATTTGTAATTTATTTTGTATTTTAGACTATTTACATGGTGATGTAGGTTGAAAATAGACCTACTTGCAGCGAAGCAATGCGTATCTCCATGGGATGAACTGCTCGCATTCTGTGATAGTTAGGGGTGTCACTTTAACTTTAACTTTATTAGTTAAAGTGTTTAAAGTTTAAAGTTAGAACTTTAACTTTAACAGTTAAAGTTAAAGTAAAAACACTTTCCACTTTAACTTTATTTAAAGTTAAAGTATTTTAAAGTAATCTGATAACGGTCAAAAATGAATAAGGGAAACATTATGGGTGGCACGTTAACTTTAACTTTATTAGTTAAAGTGCTTAAAGTTAAAGTTCTAACTTTAACTTTAACTGTTAAAGCAAAGTTAAAGTGACACCCCTAGTGATAGTGGTGAAGGTCTACTGGCAATATGGAAGGTTTTCACAGTACGTTGGAAAGTAGCCAAATATGGAAGCGTGCAACAGAACAAAAAATGAATCGAAATTTAAGACCACGTTTAAATTCTTTTTGTTATCGTCAACGTCCTTTGGTCTTAGAGTATGGCACTTGGTAGAACATTGTGAACTGGCTTTGAAAAGGTTTCCTAATGAATCCGATCAAGGAAAAGATCTTGATAGTTGAAAAACTATTAACGTCGATTTTTGAAGGTCAAATCGATTAAAATCGATGTAAAAGTCATGATTTTTAATAGATGTTAAATTTGAGAAAAATCTGTTAAAATCTTTTGTTATGAAATATATGATTATCATTGATTTTTCAATGATGAGAAATCGATTTAAATGGCACGATTTTCATCCGATTTTCATCCGATTTTTCATCGGCGAAAAATCAATTAAAATCGATTTAATTGAAAAAAATCATGAAAATCGATTTCCATTGATTTTTTAGGAAAAACAGATTTTAATTGATTTTTTGTTGATGAAAAATCGGATGTAAATCGTGCCATTTAAATCGATTTGTCATCATCGAAAAATCGATGAAAATCAGATTTTTGACGTTTTTTTTTTACATGGGTAGTGCCGTATACAGAGATGAAGCGAAGACAAATAGACAAATATACACATTTCATTTCAAGGTTTACCCGTCAAAATTTGACTCTTTCATAATTTTTATATTATTTATTAACTAGATTTCTTTCAAATTATTAATCTTTACCGAGATAGAAAAATAACTTTCGTCCTATAGTTTCTTTTCTACACCATCAAAGTATGTCTATCAGTCTAAAAGTCTTCTCTACGCTATTGTTTTCAACTGACATAATCATTTATTTCTTTCAATATTAATTTTTTTCATTTAAATATATATACAGGTTTATTCTTAAAGTATAACATAATTATTTTCAAGTATATTTATTAAAAAAACTCCGATATTGTCTCAATTGTATTTTTAATGTACAAATATGATGAAAGAACGTAAAGAAAAACGTATCGTTACATTTGCTTATTTACTTCATCAAGGACGTTATCTACCTGTATTTTATTTCACGTGTCATTAATATATGTTCCCTCGACTGAAAGGAGGGTGATACGAAAAAAACGAAAATGCGTTTGTTTGTCTGTCTGTCTGTGCCAGGGTCAAAAGAACATCGAAAATTAATTTCTTAGAAAATACATTTCTAGAGGTATTTCGAAGCGGGGAGTTCGAATCTGAGGTCTATTGGGTGACCGTGTGAAGGGGTGAGTGGGTGTGGGTGAGAGGTCAAAAGAACATCAAAAATTTATTTTTCTAAAAAGACATTTCTAGAGGTTTTTCGATGCGGGGAGTTCGAATCTGAGGACTATTGGGTGATCGTGTAGAGGGGGAGTGTAGAGAATTTAAAGGTCAAAAAAACATTGAAAATCAACTTGTCGGCGTTTTTATTTGTTGTTCCAGTAAATATGATTAAAATGGATTTCTACGCGAACGATCTAAGCGAATTCTCGGACGAGCGTTATTCGTAAGCTCACCTGCCTTGGACAGACATTTAGGGATGGGAGGTCGTTAGCGAGATTATGGGCGTGGGTGAGGGGCTTGGTGAACGTGAGAACCTCTAGAAATCGGGTTTTTCAAAAAACGTATTTCTAGGACTATACCAATGCGAGAAACTCGAATTTCAGGTCTATTTGAACAGACAACTTGAGGATATGGGTGAGGAACTGCGTGTAGATGAGAACTGATATAAATCGATTTTTGGAAGAAATGTTTTTTGTATCTTGAGTGTGGGTTTGTGCGGGTGCGCTTGGTTGCGGGCGAGGTTTTATATATCAATTTAACTCTAATAGATACACCTACACCCACCCATTTACAGTTAGGCGCGCACCCACACTGAAAGCTAGTGCTTCTCCTGCACCCGACCCAACGACATTCTCGATCACCCACACCCAACCACAGCTGAATATACAGCTTCATCCACCCACACCCGCTCTCCCATCCAAACCCACACCCACACTTCCACCCACATCCGCTCTCCCACCCACACCTG